ACGACTAGCACTAGCACTAGCACTAGCACTAGCACTAGCACTAGCACTTGCACTACCACGACCGCCACCGCCACCACCACCACCACCACCACCACCACCACCTGCTGCTGCTGCTGCTGCTGCTGCTACTGCGACTACGACTACGACTACGACGACGACGACTATGACGACGACGACGACTACTACTACTAGTAACCTACAAGTAGTACTGGTACATCCTCGAAGTGGCTTTTTGCTCGTGCATGTGAGGCTAGACCTTGAGTGTTGCCACATTCCAGTTTGGCACTGCCAGTAGTTGTCAGCACTTGTGCGAACAGGCCGTGCTGGGAAGCCGGCATCATGGGCTTGCTTGAAGGTCAACTCCACCCAGGAGCCCTGCAGCGTCTTGAAGTTGAGTATACGATTGGCAGAGTAAGATGAGGCGTTGCCTGTGTCCATGCAAGCAGTGCTCGAGCTTTCGGGTAGAAAAGGTAGGTGCTCTCTGTTACTGCTCACTGGGCAATCTTCTGGTCGCACGTATGCGGACCTTTGCGAGTGATTCTTGTATGGAGGTGGCCGGAAACAGGCACGAACTCTGAAAATGCAGCACCGAGCACCTGTGGTAGCTTGACAAACCATTGCCTCCAGTGCCGGTGCAGTGACATCTGAGGTCTTGTAGATGGCTTTGCACTGACCGTTAGCCTGTCATGCTCCGGACATCTCAAAACCTGGTGAAGCTCGACCCCTCGAGTAATAGCACACTTTACCATGTCAGATGCTAGGAGCAGCAGACTGCCATGATGCACTCTTCCAGTCGCGGGCATCTCCCAGCACCGTGTCAAGAGTGGACAACACAACTGGCGCCGGGTGCTCCCATCCGCAATCAACGTTGCACCAGCTTGAACCATGTCCTGTATCATGCGACGAAGTGTGAGCAGCACAGCCTCATGCTCATGGAAAAGTACTCTGATTAGTCATGGTATCTACTCGTCGTCACAGCTTTCAATGCGCTTGCTGCTTCGTCTTGTCATGGCGCTTGACAGCCAGTTCGAACAAGCTCTCATCGGAAGGCACCTTTGGGGCAATCGCGGCAATGCTTTGCTTCATGCCCACCACAGGTGACCTCCAACAGCGACAATAGCTATTATTACGTGAGGGAGCAGGAGAGAAGAGGGACAAGCCAAGTCAGCAACAGTTTCATTGCTTGGGATCCCCTGTGTTCATGATTTTCTCTCACAGGCTCTTCAGACCCTTCATGCGCCCTCACCTTCTATGGATCCAAGCGAAGATTTGCCAGCCTTCTCACGGAGGTCAGAGTCGTCGTAGAGAGACTGCAAGAGATCTGACCGGCCCCTTATCAGGAAACACCGAACACATGGAATGACAGGCGTGCCTGAGACGCTATTCCAAGGCAGGGATGCAAGAACAAGTCGGCACTTGGCACCACAATCAGGAGTACTGCAAGATGCTGCAGCCACGACTGAGACGGTGATGCAGATCATATATGTTCATCTGTGTTGCACAAAAGAAGCACTAGAGCCGCTAGAGCTACTAGAGCGGTCTGAGCAGTTCGACAAAGGATTCTCGACCTCAAGGCCCCCATCTGCCCAGACGTGGCGGTAAAGTCCGAGGACGCAGCTCCATGTTGCTGGTGAGCTCTGCAGGAGGGTTGTCGAACAACGAGTCCAGGAGCGGGTTCTTCTTGAACCATACCTGAAAATGTTTGACACGTCGGTTCCACACCAGGGGGATCTCCTACAGCACTTCGGGATTCGGGATCAAGAGGGGGCTTTCTGGCCAAAAGAAATTCAGCAAAGCAAAGCTGCTTCCGTGGCTCGTTGGACTTTTCCCTGCAAGGACGAAACATCCCCGAGATGCTCCAGAATTGCCTGGAGACAGAGTCCGTTTGCAATTGCGCCCTTGCTCCGGAACTGTTCGTGTGCCCTTAAGGGCGGCCCACCTCTTTGTCCTTGGCATATAGTATTCTGATGTCTGATCGCTCGCCTTTGGCACCACCTGTCAAAATGCAGAAACTGCATGCTGGTGCACTTCATGGCTGCTTGGGCATGCTTCCCGAGATGTTTCCAAAGGCACGGGAAGGGGAAAGGGGAGGGTGCGTGCCATCTTTGCCGGCGCCAGCAATGTTTAAGGAACATGCTATCCCATTCCTATTGCATCCACGCCAGAGAGTGTAGCCCGTGCGAGCCTAATGCGAGAGCCTTGGGCACTGTCTGATTGCCAACAACATCAACGAAGTCCCAGTACAACGCGTCTGCGGGTGTTAGAGGAAACATCACCAGCATCTCCTTAGTAGGAAGCAGAACATGTATGACTGCACTCGAAGAGGGAAGTATCACCGCACTGGGGAAAGCCTCAAACAGTTGAGCTCGCTTCAACTCCCTGCACATATGAGGTTACAGGGTAGGACGAGGCGCCCAGTGTCCGTGGCTACAGGCTACTTCCATTGAACATCTGAGTTCAGTGACCCTTCTTCGAAGTACCCTTCAAGCGACTCTATAAGTACCGCTTAAGCCAAGCGTCCATCCACCGGTGCAAGATCTTGGAGCGGATGAGCTTCCGATGATGCCCCAATTTACTGAAATGGATGCAGAGCCAGGGGACCTTCTGTGAAGTCAGGAGGTTGATGTGCCTCTGAATTAGCATTGGGTAATCCTGGGCCAGAGGACTTCCCCACTCCAGAGACATGAAATTCTCAGCCAGCGGCCGAAGGAATTGGATCAAAAGCGCCAGGTTGATGTTGTCAGGGTGGCGGGAAGGCTCTGGGTATAAGTCCGGTGAAGGATCCAATAGATGCACAAGCGCTTGCTTGTCGGGACTGAGCTTCCGCAGCACGGCCTCGATGCCTTGGGTTCCGACAGCTTCGCGTTTCCGCTTCGGTCCTGTCCTACCCTATGTCCCTACAGAACAACAGCTGCCGGGCCGTGAGTCGACGGCGATCCTACCTTTGCCGGCTTCAGGCCGTCTTCGAAGTGGGCAAGATCTAATGAGCATGTGCGACTAATTAGTTGGAGTCGTTGTCGTCCTCATGATGGAAAGAGCACGTACCGAGACGAGGAACGAACGGTCTGCCGAAGTCTCTCTAGGAGGCGAAGTCCATTTCAAACGAGAACGCGACAGTTCAAACGCAACCTCCAACATACACGCCACCGCGAAAACAAAACAGCCGTTCCCTTGCGCATGCCGTACAGACTCCGAATCAATCAGGGAACATGTCAGCATTTGTATACAGTCGGCATCGAATCTGCTGAATCCTTCGCTCATGTTCTGACTGGATCCTCGCGTGAACTTTTGCCTTTGGTCGGGAGTTTGCGAGCTTGGAGCAGCCTAAAGCGACCAAAACCACAGTTAGTCTGTGTATACATATATATATAATATTATAATATGTACATGTATATCGAACGTGTTTACTTGCTTGCTTGCTTGACTGCTTGCTTGCCTAATCACTAACTTGCTTACTTGCTTCCTTGCTTGTTTGCACGCTCGCTTGCTTGTACACTGACACAGGTGTAGGACCCTTTTTGATGTAGCTGAAACAGCAGGGCTGGACGTCATAGGATCCTTGAAGCTCTGGGCGGCCTTCGACGGACAGCAACGCCCTAACGAGCCACCTTCCCCCATCAGGTCAGGACGCCTTGAAGCAAGCTCTGGCGCTGCCCACGCTGCCCAAGGGAACCGTGAGCCACGAGGATCCCAACCACAGCGTCGCCAGAGTTGAGCAGCCCTTCGAGGATGCTCTCGGCGAGCTCGAGGGTCGGATCCAGGATAAACCCAAGAGAAACGAGGGCTCTTGAACGTTGGACCTGTTTGGGGTCCCGGGGATCTGGGCCAGGGCCAAGATGCACCAACTTCTGCGGACTGATCCTCAAAATTCCAGAGCCCATAGAGCGCCAATCGAGAGCCAGTGCTTCTTTGCGAGGTTCTCCCGACTTGCATACGGCCTGAAACTGCAAACGCCTCGAGGGCACAGGCCGTGGCATGCTGAAAGCTTGAGGGACCCCAATCAGTGGTTTGGAAGACTCGCTAGGAGTCACGAAGAAGCAGATGAGAGTGTCAAGTGCGACCAGGTAGTACAGAGTCCACCAACTCAGCAGCCCGGAAGCTGCTGTCACATCGCGACACGCACACTGGCAGGCCCAAACAGCAAGCCAGGCAAGGCCGCCTGCAGAAAAGCCAACAAGTGCTGCCAACAAAGCATGCTGCAGCGAATACTGCGAATGCTGTACATCTGCCTTCGGCGGCGGCTCCTCCGGTGCCGGAGTGGTAGCCTGCTTCTCGACGTCAAGACTCTGCAACACTATCTCCCGGATGGAAACCCACTCGGCTTGACTTTCACGCAAACCGATGTCCAAGCATGTTACAGCCTCCAGCTTGCCTTCCCAGACCTCCTCCGGCTTGGAGATCTCTGTGAGTCTGCTGGGGTCGCTGCAGTCGCTCCTATGAGAAACTCGTAGTTCTCCCTTTCGGATGAAGTCTGCCTCGTGGCCCTTGCGGCCTTGACGAATGATAACCTGGGCTCTCTTTGCGGAGAAGGCGTCGTTCAGCTTGAGTCCTTGCATCAGAGCACCCGAAGATTGCTTAGTAGTCGAGACAAGGCAACCTCTCGGAACTGATATGGCTCGCCCTCAGCCACTGTACTGTTTCGACTGCCAAGGGGCTGAAGTACTTCTGGCTTGCACAGGACAAGTCATCCTTGCCCTTCTCTGAGCAGGTATCCGCCGTCCAGAATCCCAGTGGGTCGCCCGGTGGGTAGGCAGCTTGAGGAGTAAAGTGCTGACAGGGGCAGAACTTGGGTCAGTTCTTGGGATGAGCGGGTCTTCCTACCTACGCTCCGAGAGTCTCTGTGATGCGACATGTGGTCGGAGTTCTTGGGGCATAGGAGCCGTTTGCCCGAACCCTCCGCCTGGTACGTCTTCATGGTGCTTTCGACCGTTGCCCTCGGGTATCCTCGGTTTGGAGATGCTCGCAACAAACTAGGCTCTGAAAAAGGAACCTGCTACTGCCACTGCTCCACCTCCTCCTCCTGCTCCTGCGTCTGCTGCTAGTACTACTATTACTCCGACTTTTCCTCCACCTCCTTCTCCTGCTACTACTGCTGCTACTACTGCTGCTACTACTGCTGCTACTGCTACTGCTACTGCTACTACTGCTACTGACATCTGGGCTGGCTTGGGAACTTCGCAGCAAAGCAAATCATTGCTTAGCAGTTCTCGCGACCTCAGTCCCCTCCAGTCTCTGCTCACCGAATGCGCCTTCCGTCTTCGGGCCAAGGGGCTTGAGCTGGAAACTCCGTTTGCGGCGATCTTGGGCTTTGATGCATTTTTATCCACCTCCGAAGTCTGAGCAGTCGCTTGCAAAGCCAAGCCAAGCATCTTGGCACTAAGGCCCATGTCGCGTTATCTTGATTCTAGTGCTGCAGAACTGAGCCTTCCAACTTACAGCACCGAACCGCGAAAAGAACGTGGCAGACCCGACAGGGCTTCTTGCGCACAGCAGTGCGCAGAGATGCGCAGAGCTACCATACATGAAGCACGTCAAACCTACAAGTAGAAGTTATATGGGGTCGTCTGGAAGGGAAAACGGCCAATTTTGCTTCAGTTAAAATCTGCAAAGTTCCTGACGCTTTGCTACGAATCCGAATCACTGGTGTAAACAAGCTCGTCTCCAGAATCACCGGATGCCAGGGCGGACGCTGATCTATGAAAATACACACACGCACAGGCACAGACTTAGATGTTTTACAGTTTTACGTCGTGCGTTGGCTCTGACGACACCGAGAAAATCCAAAGCGATTGCGGAGCGGCCTTTGTGCCGTGACTTCAAGAAATCCGATCTTTCAGAGAGGCCCCCTGGCAAGTGGCGAAGCCCGGGCCTCATCCACAAGGAAGACCCGGGGCAAGGACTTGTCAAGGTAATACGTGGAGAGTTCGCTCCTCAGATTTGGCAGCTTCTTGACTTCCTCAGGTCCCTTCTTGGCGGCCTCGGCCTGAAAACACCGAGTCAGAAGAAGTCGGGGCTGAATGGAAACAGCCGTGGATGCCGTGAGTTCCTGCATTTTATGCAGCACATCATGCCATATCAGTCGGGCCTTCTTGTTGGCGTCCTTCTCCACATCTTTGTGTAGATCGGCAGTTGCCTGACATGCTACCCTAAAGATCTCTAAAGCAGAGCTACATTGCCGCCTGCCGTGCCTCGTTGCATCAATGCAAAAGTGCCTTCTGAAAACAAACGTGTCACCACGAAGATGGCGCTTGATTGCTGAGGTGTATACTTGTGCGGTAACGGACAGCAGTAGCTTCAGCTGGTTCTCGCCGCTCTTGCCATCAGCAGTATCTCTACGATTGCTACGACTCTTACACGTTGAGGCCAGTACCACCCTCGGGAGGATCTAGAAAGCAGAACCATGCATGACGCGTAGTTCGTACCCAATGCAACTATAAATAGCTTGCTCTAGAGCCTTTAGAGGACATCACCGAAGAAACCACATAAGGAACCATACTTTCTACTTTTACACCCTCCCGTCGCCGCGATTCCATTAGCTCTTGGTGGATGTGAGAGAGACTATGAGGGGAGGGACTGCTCCATACCCTCTACGCGGTCTCGCGACACCCTGGTGGTAGACTTGAAATTTGAGAAACTCTTGCATGGAAGCCGGATGCTGATTTCAAGCGAAGCGCATCTGAATCCACACACCGCTTCACTTATCACGTGTAGTTCCCAGGTTGGGCTTTGCAAGTAACTGTGCAGTTTGACAAGGGCGTGTACATTTCGTGCGGTGTGTGGGTACCAAGGAAAGGACCGGTAAAGTTATGGCAAGCTGCAGGAGTAGAGCTCCAAACATCGATCCAGCACCAAACCAGCCAGTCGCAAGGGGCCTCCTCGCCTCAGAAACCAGATTGCAGTGGACTCTCCTGGGACACCGAAAATGCACCTGGACGAGCGTATACAGTAAGAATCAATCATATACAGCTCGAGCAATACAGCCACGGGCAGAGCCTTTGCAAAGTTGCAGCCCACTCCCCCCCACCGGCGAAACGAAATGGTCGATCACACAAGCCAAGAGAACCTTGCCAAATCACCGTTTGCCACGGATAGTCAGCGTCGTTGATGCTGCTCTGACAAAGCCAAAGAGGTCAGCTTAGTCTTAAACTCGGCATTGACGCAGGACCCACATGTATCCTAGTGACTCGGTTGCCGGTTGCGCACATTGAAAGCACGGTCATGAGGGTATGGCTGGATGTGAATCAGTGAGAGAAAACTACTAGACTAAACTACTACAACAGCACACCGTATCTATTGCTGGTCGCAGAAACCGGCAACACGACGTGTTGACATCTACAACTCCGGAAATCTCCGAGTCAGATTGTTGCTCGCCAGGTTGCTGAAGGTGAGCAAGAAATTTGCCAAGTTCGGAAGGTGCGTGTTGTTGAACAACTTGCCAATGAAACCCAGGCCTGAAAAGGACGCCATGACCCAAGGGTTGCCAATCAAGGACCTCTCCAGGGCACTCCGCACGAAGGCAGCAAAGCTTGGAACCGGATGGACATCATCTTCCAGTTGCATATAGTACTCCGACATGTTCGACGCGTACCACATCAGGAATGTATAGTCCAGATTCTGCTTCGTCCTCCACCACGTTCTCTTCGGGCTGTCACCAAACTTGAGCAGCACGCCCTTCTCATTCACGAAATCTGACAGCTTGACAGCGGTGGCCTTGATCCACTGACCATTCAACTTCTCCTCCCAACCTCGCACACTCTCGTCCTCCGCTCTGATTCGGGCGCATGGGATCTCAGCTAAGTTTCGCGCGATAAAGGCTGTATCGCTTGGGTCAGGATTCTGCATGCTTGGGCACTTCAAGTTCTCACGACCGAGTTCTGCTCCCAAACCATAGCCCGCTTCACGGAAGGTGCCCTCACCCTCAGCCCTCAACTCCTAAACTAAACGCCGAACCCCTGTACCCTAATAGGGGTTTACGGGAGCCCTGGGAGGTCAATCGCACAGCTTCCAAAGCCCGAACAAAAAACTCCACGAATAAGAAATGGTTCAGGGTTTCGGGTTTGCTTCAGAGTTTTGGGTTCAGGGGTTTGGGTTTGTTTTGAGCTTAGGGTTCAGGGGTTTGGGTTTGTTTATGAGCTTTGGGTTCAGGGGTTTGGGTTCGTTTATGAGCTTAGGGTTCAGGGGCTTGGTTTCAGGGGTGCAGGTCTCAGGATGTTGGCCGGTGTCCAGAACTTCCAACTCCTCCGGCGCTCGAGCTTGAGCTTTGCAATCTCCTGGTTCAAGCCACCCTCACCCTCGCCCAACAACCATCCTAAGCTATCCCAAGCCCCCTGCACTGATAACTATGATCATAATCAGAGAAAGAACGCGAGTGACAATAATGATAACAAGAAAGAACAGTCAGTAGAAGTTGTACATGTACATATTAAAGACACACACACACACACGCGCGTAATATACATACACATACACATAGACACACACACACACGCACATGCGCTTGCACATACACAGCGTGCACATACCCACACACACATACATATGTGTGTATGTAAATACATTACGCGGAGTATCTGTATCCTCAGCAGCCCGCAGTGCCAGGCGCTTCGTGGGCTTGACAAAAGTGTGATATGCCTTCTAGATTTCATGGAACAGGCGTAGCAGCAAAGGGGGTATGAGAAAAACCTGAGAAAAACAGGGGCTTACGATTTGCATCGGTGTGTAGTATCGTAGCAGTGCATGCGGGCCTGTTGACTGAGCAGCCTCCACATCCTGCGACGCGACCAGGACCCAACGCCGATGAACCACGTCTAGGTTTGCTGGGATATTGCGGACAAAAATGTCTTCAAAAAGTCGTAGTTTCAATTTCTCTGTCTAAGGTAACTTAGCGAAAAGCTAAAACCAGAGGCTAGACGAGAGCCCAGGCTCTGGTTGTCTGAATACACCAGACCAGGACGTACCTGTAGGCCGCACCAATGCACCCCCCGCCCCCCCACCACCACACAAAACAGCGTAGGTTCGTCACCCCAAACAAAGAGCTTAAGCACCGAACAATGCTGACAAGATGCATGCCACTGGCAGATCTGTAGGACACGCGATCAGTTGCAGCATCCGCTTGTCTAGTGTATCTTGCGTTCAGTTCAGTCTGCTTAAAACCAGATAGTCGGAAAGCTTCAACATTGGCTTGTTTCAGTGGGTAGATGTCCCGCGGTGCATGTATGACGTGCAAGTCGCCCTCCAAGACTTCGTTGGTGAATCCTTCATTCAGCTTGCTGGCAGTATTCAGCACCCATTCCTCGTCGAAGTCTGCTAAATGCACAATTATCGCAGTTGCGGCTTCTTCCAAATCCAATACGTTGAACAGCCTGGACAAGGTGATCTCCAAGTATGATGCCTCAGGGCACATACGGACATACGCAGACATCAAGATTCTTTGTGTGTGCTTGCTCTTCGCTGCTGCTGCTGTCGTTGTAAGCGCATGCCTAAACATATCTGCTATCGCTGCCGCAGCTGCTGTGCTTCAGCTCCCAATAACACTACCACTGCTACGTTACTACTGCTGCTGTTGCTACTCCTGCCGCTGCTGCTGCTGCTGCTGCTACTACGACTACGACCACCACCACCACCACCAGCACCACCACCACGACCACGACCACGACCACGACCACGACCACCACCACCACCAC